AATGACCCCCCCAAATTTTTTGCAAAGTAGACAGTCCGACGTACTTCATAGGAGGCATGGCGAGTTTTTTTGAAGTTGTAATTTTTCGGATTTTTTTTTTTTTTTTTTTTTTTTTTTTTTTTTTTTTTTTTTTTTTTTTTTTTTTTTTTTTTTTTTTTTTTTTTTTTTTTTTTTTTTAAAATTAAAAAATTAAAAAAATTAGTTTCACAATTTGTTTTTTACATACTGTCACCAGTGCAGTACAGCGTCATCATATAACTGGCATGGCGGTGATCAGGGACACTGACTGGTGACAGTATGAAAAAAAAAAAAAAATTATATATATTTTTTTTTTAAGATTTTTTTTTTCATATTTCACTATGACCAATGTAGTACAATGTTACCATAGTAACATTGTACTACTTTGGGGAAGTGATCAGTATTTTTTTTTTTTTTACACAATTTGCTTATAGCAAAGAATTACTTTGCTATAAGCAAGCATTTACCTGAATGACATCGATTCATTCAGGGCTTTTGTTTTTTGTGCTTAGCTGTGATTTGGCCACAGCTAATCACATGACATTTGCATGTGATTAGCTGTGACCATTCACAGCTAGACACTAGTATACAATGGATGGCATGAATGAAGCCATCCATTGTATACAACTGTCATGTGACCTGCTGTGATTGGTCACAGCAGGTCACATGGTATCGGCAACGGGCCCGATACTCAGATCTGTCATCGTCCGTGTCCGAGGTACACGGCCGGTGACAGATTGCGCCGCTCTGCAGGAGCGCAATCTGCGCATGTGCGGGAGGACGCCATATGGCGTCCACCCGGAACGCTGATGACATTTGCCGGCCGCCATTCGGCCATAGGGCGGGCAGCAAATGGTTAAATAGCCAATAGAGAAAAATATAATCTGCTTCATTATTTATTGCTAGGTTTTTCAGCTTTTCCTTCAGCTTTTAATTTTTTTTTTTTATTATTTATTTTTGTTTTGTGTTGTTAAAGTTTTAGGTGTTAAGGGGTTAATATTTTATTGTCTTATTTATTTTTAGGTTTAGGGTGGTAATCTTAATAAACACCCTAACAAAAAATATTTTTTATTATTATTAATAATACTAATATTAATAATAATATGTAATTTTTGTTTTTAACCACTTGCCCAGAGGATTTACCCCCCTTCCTGACCAGGCCATTTTTTCGTTACGGCGCTGTGTTAACCACTTGCCGACCGCAGATAGCCGAATGACGGCTTCACTGCGGCAGGACAGTTCTGGGAGGGCGTCACATGACGCCCTCCCACGCACTCCTGCCGATCTCCGTGATCGCTGTGTCCTATGGACACAGCTGATCACATGATGTGGTAAAAGGTCAATCACAGCGGCCTTTTACCACGTGCTCAGCCGTGTCCAATAACAGAGATCACCGATAAATGCACTTGCCAGTTATCGGCTGCACTTTCCTTACGCTGTTACAGCGTGAGGAATGTACTGTCGATAACCGGCAATTGTCATTGGACGGATCGGCACCAATCATCAGGGCACTGTGTTTTTTAGGTATGCATATATATGCAGCCTCTCGACATTAAGGCCACCTACCGAGAGGCCGCATATATGTGTACAGCTGGTGGGAAGGAGTTAGGAACCACAAGCCGTCAGCTGCAATGGATGATGGTAGTTGTAGTCTATATTTATTCACAGGAAACTGAATGAATGATGCGGCTGTGTGAGCGGAGCCATGAATGACTGCGCGGTTTCCAAATTGTGACAGTGGGTACGGAGGGGAAAATCCCCCGCCCACTGTCATGGGGATGGGGAGGGATTCAAAGGAGAGGATGCAGATGCTGGAACATTTTCCACCCTATAAACAGAAATACTGCTACAGGGCGGCACGGGTGCGCAAAATCCTGTGTGTGTGTGATTTTGCATTTCCGGGCAGGGCGCATGCTGCACCTCCATACACAGCCATTGCTGTCAATCACCGAGTCCCGGCCGGTAATTACTTGCCAGCGCCTGGTGATTTCCAAGGATCTCCGACAGGGAGGAGGACTGTTTTGTTTACCAACAGTTCTCCTCCCTGTCAGCTCAGGCACACTGCACAACACAGCCATCCACAGCAGCGTGGTTACACTAAAGGACAGACACCGCCCCCTAGTAAAACACTCCCAGCACACAGTTAACCCTTTGATCGCCCCTCACGTTAACCCCTTCAAGCCCAGTGCTATTAGTACAGCATCAGTGCTGTTTTTTTAGCACTGATCACTGTATTGGTGTCACTGGGGATTTCAGTGACACCAAGTCAGTCCCCCCCAGTGTCAGAATGTCTGCTGCAGTCCTGCTATAAGTCGCTGATCGCCGCCATTACTATTAAAAATAGAAAATTTAAAAAAAATCCTAGTATCTTTACCGCCATTTGTAAACACTAATTTTCATGTAAACCAATTAATTTACACATATCGGGATTTTTTTTTTATTTATTTTTTTTAGCAAAGACACGGAGCAGAATACATTTTGGCCTAAATTTAGAAATTTTTTTAAATTTTTTTACTTTACATGTTTAATAGCAAAACGTCAAAAGTATTGTTTTTCTCAAAATTATTTTTTTTTTGGGGGGGGTTTAGCGCACAAAATAAAAACCGCACAGGCGATCAAATACCACCGAACGAAAGCTCAATTTGTGGGGAAAAAATTTCATTTGGGTGCAGCGTTGCATGACCGCAAAATTGTCAAGTAAAGTAACGCAGCGCCATAACGCAAAAAATGGCCTGGTCAGGGGGGGGAATCCTCAGAAGGCAAGGGGTTAAAGCAGAATTAAAGTGTTACTAAACTAAAAAAAATAAATATGTCATACCAGGGGCGGACTGACAACTCATGGGGCCCCGGGCAATAGGGGATCATGGGGCCCCTGTGTCCTTGCTCAAACTCAAAAAAGCCTATGAAAAAGGTACCAGGGGCATCTCATGGGGCCCCCCTACTGACCTCGGGCCCGCCTCAGTCCGCCCCTGTGTCATACTCACCTGCTCTGTGTATAGTGGTATTGCACAGAGCAGCCCCAATCCGCCTCTTCTCGGATCCCCCTGTGGCGGTCCTGGCTCCTCCTCTTCTTCACGTGCCCCCATAGCAAGCCGTTTGCTATGGAGGCACACAGTGTCTGCGCACTCCTGAACCGAGTGTCTATGCAGCTGCGTGTCTTGGCACCTGCTGCTGTCAATCAAAATGCAGTAAAAAAGGAAGTAGGGGGTGGGGCTAAGTGTGCAGGGGCCAATGCTGCTGCTGCGAGTCCTATGTGAAGAGGAAGAGAGGGGAGAAGAGATGCAGCCGTGCACAGCGCTGGATCTAGTCTCCCTTCTTTTCCTCTTCACACAGGGAAGGGGGAAGACTGAGAAATAGAAAAAGTTTGTTATATTAACGCAAGGAATGCACAAAGGTTTAAAAAAAAAAAAAAAAAACATTTTTAGCGTATCACTTTAAGGCTGGCCATACATAGGTCGAAATTCAACCGATTTTTTTCCTCCGAAAATTGGACCTAAGTGATCACATGCAGAGTAGTAAGCAAAATGTCACTTCTGACATCATTGCTTACTACATGTGAAATCTGTGAATGATCACAGACGTCACATGGTACAGGGCTATTCACAACAGCCTTGTACCATGTGACAAGCTGTGACCAATCACAGCTCTCACAGTATTTCTCAATGGCTGCAAGAACTCAGCCAGAGAGAAGGAGAAATTTATTGCTTTTACAGCCTTTATGGGTGTAAAAGCAATCAGTGTAACGATAAAAAAAAATTTCATCACCCCCCCCCATAAGTAGTACAGTGTCACTATGGTGATACTGTACTGCTAGGGTGACAGTATGTTAAAAAAAAACAACATAAAATAAAAATAAAAAAGACATTTTTGAAAAATTATACATTTTTGGTTATAAACTAATTTTGGGGTTTTTTTTTTTCACTAAAAAGATAGATGAATACATATTGGCCAAGATTTATGAAGAAAGATGATTAATTTGCAAAATTTTATAAGAAAAACACTTTTTTTTTTTCAAAATTTTTGGACTTCATTTATATAGCAAAAAAATAAAAATCCCTGTGGTAAATAAATACCACCAAAATAAAGTTTTATCTGTCTAAAAAAAATGATAAAAAATGCATATGGGTCCAGTGTTGCATGACCGTGCAATTGTCATTCAAAGTGTGATAGCGCTGAAAGCTGAAAATTGGCCTGGACAGGAAGGGGGTGAAAGTGTCCGGACTGGAAGGGGGTGAAAGTGTCCGGACTGGAAGGGGGGTGAAAGCGTCCGGACAGGAAGGGGGTGAAAGCGTCCGGACAGGAAGGGGGTGAAAGCGTCCGGACTGGAAGGGGGTGAAAGCGTCCGGACTGGAAGGGGGAAAGCGTGAACTGGAAGGGGGTGAAAGCGTCCGGACTGGAAGGGGGTGAAAGCGTCCGGACTGGAAGGGGGTGAAAGCGTCCGGACTGGAAGGGGGTGAAAGCGTCCGGACTGGAAGGGGGTGAAAGAAAAGGGGGTGAAAGCGTCCGGACTGGAAGGGGGTGAAAGCGTCCGGACTGGAAGGGGGTGAAAGTGTCCAGACTGGAAGGGGGTGAAAGTCCGGACTGGTCCCAGACTGGAAGGGGGTGAAAGTGTCCAGACTGGAAGGGGGTGAAAGTGTCCAGACTGGAAGGGGGTGAAAGTGTCCAGACTGGAAGGGGGTGAAAGTGTCCAGACTGGAAGGGGGTGAAAGTGTCCAGACTGGAAGGGGGTGAAAGTGTCTGGACTGGAAGTGGTTAATGCATAGCAGTGAAACACCTTGAGGCATTAGAACCACTTTAACAAACAAAAAAAAGAAAAAAAGAAAAAAAACAACACATAATAATAAAACAAAACACAGACAACTTATCCTAAAGCAGGTTCTGTTTTATTTTACCAAATAAACTATTACAAATTAAATAACATGTAAAACAAGAGCCTCTATGTACATCTCCAGATACATCATCACACAAGGGGGCGGCGCTCGTCAGTCTATTTCTAAGTCGCTGTCGTCGCTGTCATAGCACTGAACGGCCGGATGGCGAATCACAGAGCGTGTCAGGTCCTTCTCGGGTAACAGGCTATACTCCTTCAAATACGCTTCCAGGTCGACGGCAAAGAAGTCGTCCCCGAGTTGATCCGTTATTCGAACGAAATTGCCCATCAGCAGTCCTGATCTGTACACCAGGAAGGCCGGGAGCGCTTTCTCGGTGAATTTGCTGCTCGTGCCCAATAGGGAACTCTTCACTCTGCAGAACTTGACTCCGGGGTACTCGGCCGCCAGGCAGATAATGCTGCCGTTCGCTGCCTCCGCCCCGGGGATGTCGTCCTCGTATATCAGGATGATCACCAGAATATTTTGCTCTTCTTTATCGATGATGTCCAGGAATTCCTCCGCGCTGTTGATGTCAACCACCACCTTGAAGAGCTGCGAGTGGCTCAGCTGTTTCTTCATCTCCTCGATCCTCTGCTTCCTGTACTTCTGAAGGAACTCCTCGTCTTCTTCCTCATTCATCATGTTGTACTCTTGCATCGTCATCTAGAAAGGGGAAAAAAGAAACAATACATAGAAAATCGCCAAGAACTGATACTTGGGTTGGAGGATAGCACAGTGGAAAGCAAAAAAAAAAAAAAAAATCTGTAGGCTATCCCAGTAGGATAACCCCTCCTAGTATTAAGCTGGCAGTATATCCCAGAAGGGCTTCCCCTGTCCCTCAATGGAACAGAAAAATCCTATTTCCTTTCTTGTCCTTTAACCCTCTCGCTGCCAGGTCTGTACATCATACACACCTGACAGCGGGGGAGGGTGTTTACACACAATCAGGTAGCTGCAGCCACCAGGATTGTGTGTAAAATTGATAGGCAGACTCCTACCTGTAAGGTGGACACGGTCAGATGGCCGTACTATCGCCGGATTGCTTCCACAACCCCCAGTAACGTGTTGTGCGTTCCCACCATGTATTCCGGGCTCCGCTTGCCCATCTGCAGGCCTGGGGCCAACATGCCGGGTGCTGACAGGTGGAGGGGAGAGAGGAGAGCGGACACACGTGGGGTCCTCCCCTGTGACCTGGAAAGGGATGTGTATTACATCACTTCCAGGACACCGCTGTCACTTTCCCCAGTTAGAATAGCCGGGGAGGAATGTATTGCAATGCGATCTGCATTGCAATACATCCAGTGGAGCCCAGAAGAGACATTTTAGACCCCTCATGTCTCATTAAAGAGAACCGGTCACCTAAAAATCATCACATAGGGGGACTTTGTGTCCCCTATGTGGCTGAAAAAAAAAAACTTAAGTAAAAAAAACAATGAAGTTACACCCAAGCACATAACATCCTCCCCCCCCAAAAAATATTGAGGACCCCCCACCCCCACATATATGCATGTACAAACGTAAACACCGGGGTGTCTGTGTAAAAACATTGATTTATCGCCACGCATGCCGGAGTGAGAGCAATAATTTAAGCACCAGACCTCCTCTATAAAGATAAATTGATGATCTATAGGGGCTTTCAAAGTGTCTCCTATAGAAAATATACAGTACTGAAGTTTATTGCCATTTTACAAGGGCACACAAATTTAAGGTTTGACATGTTGGGTATCTATTTACTCGCACAACCTCGTCTTTTATATTTTACCCAAATTTGGGTAATTTATTGCGTTTGTTTGCCCTAAAATTCATGGTAGTATATTTTTTTGAACTGAAATTTACCTTTATGGTAATATTGTGTGACATAAAAAATTGGAACTACCGCTATTTTATTCCCTAGGGTCTCTGCTTTCAGAAAATATATCCTGTTTGGGACTTTGGTGTCACCTTCAGGCCTAAAATTCATTTTTGTAAACATGCATGCAAAAACAGCCCTGGCAGCGACAGGGCTAAAGGACTGCAAGAAGTCGGGACATCAAAAAGGCAGTCTAGCTGATGGATGGCAAATAGCAAACAAATACCAACAGCTCCAACATGAACAAAAACTGGGCACTGCCTGCAGCTCAAGAGGTGCCTGAAGAACCAATGCCCAAAGCTGGTATCAGATGAGGCCCCCACCCCGGCTTAGTAATATGAACCAACTGACCAGTAATATGACCAACTGTGAACAATGAGAAACGGCAGAAAAAGAGGACGTGTGAGGTGCAGGTACGGCTCCCAAGGATGCACCAATCCAGGCACACTGCTTCTATTTTGGCATTAGAAGGAAAAGAGGTGATGATTAAAAACATCTAAAATAAATAAATAAAAATAGTTGGCTAAGAGGAGGACAATAGGTCCATCGTCTTAACCACTTCCCGTCCGACCCATGTATATAAACGGCCGGAAGGTGGCAGTGCAGGGTCGGGTGGCCGTTTATAAACGGCCTCCCCACCCCCTGCTTGTGCACGCTCCCTGGGAGAGCGCACAGCACCGCGATCCGGTGCCTGCTGTGTCTTCCGGACACGGTGGAACACCGATCGTTGTACGGGACCTCTGTGCGAAGTCTCGATCATGTAATCACTGATTGGCCAATCAGTGATCACATGCAGATTAGTAAGCAAGATGTCACTTCCTGACATCATTGCTTACTACGTGTGAAATCTGTGAATGATCACAGAGATCACATGGTACAGGGCTATTCACAACAGCCTTGAACCATGTGACAAGCTGTGACCAATCGCAGCTCACACAGTAGTTCTCAATGGCTGCAGGAATGCAGACAGAGAGAAAGAGAAATGATTGCTTTTACAGCCTTTATGGGTGTAAAAGCAGTCACTGTACAAAAAAAAAAAAAAAAAATCTTCATCACCCCCAAGTAATATAGTGTCACCATGGTGACACTGTACTGCTAGGGTGACAGTATGTGAAATACAAAAAAAAACAAAGAATATAAAAAAAAAAAGGAAAAAAAAAATTTTTTGAAAAATTATTTTTGGTTATAAACTAATTTGGGTTATTTTGTTTTTGCTAAAAAGATAACTGAATAAATTTTGGCCAAGATTTATGAAGAAAGATTATTTGTTTGCAACATTTTATAAGAAAAACCCTTTTCAAAATTTTTGGACTTTTTCATTTACATAGCAAAAAAAATAAAAATCCCAGCGGTGAATAAATACCACCAAAATAAAGTTTTATCTGTCTCAAAAAAATGCTAAAAAATTCATATGGGTACAGTGTTGCATGACTGCGCAACTGTCATTCAAAGTGTGATAGCGCTGAAAGCTGAAAATTGGTCTGGACTGGAAGGGGGGGAAAGTGTCCGGACAGGAAGGGGGGGAAAGTGTCCGAACTGGAAGTGGTTAATATACTATGTACTATATCATATTTATTTTACATTATTTTTGACTTTGTTGTATTTGGAATCATAGTGCTGGCAGCTTTTCTCTACCCTAGCGCAGTGTTATTTTCCTTGTTTATGACCTTAATACACTAGCAAAAAACAGAGGACTCATGAAGTGGGGTAGGGATGTATGAGGGATGCACAGGGGGGTGTGTCCTAAGCATTGCCAGTGTCCAATCACCTGAAGGTAGGAGCATATAGCCCAGGGTCGATGGAAACCAAGACTGTGTCCTGTACCATTGATATTAAAAGTAGATATAAAGCTTAAACATTTTTACCTTAAAGCACGGGTATCAAACGGGCGGCCCTCCAGCTGTTGCCAAACTACAAGTCCCATGAGGCATTGCAAGACTGGCAGTTACAAGCATGACTCCCAAAGGCAGAGGCATGATGGGACTTGTAGTTTCGCACCAGCTGGAGGGCCGCCAGTTTGACACCCCTGCCTTAATGTATTCCTTGCATTAACCACTACAGGACCGCCTGCCTGCAATGTACTGTGGACGGGCGGCTCGTACAGGCACAGCGACATACCTGTAGGCTCTTCCAGGTTCGGGGCTCGTGTGCACCCCCACCCGCCAGCTCCTCTGTGATCAAACACAGCTGGAGTCTGTCAGCAGGTCCTAGCCAAGGATTCATTGGCAGAATCTGCTGATTGGCAGCTTTGTCCAATCACAGCCCACAATCCTGTGTTGACAATCAACACAGTGCTACATACAGGGGGAGTGATCTCTTTGTTTCTTCTCCTTGCAAAGCAGGAAGAAGAAACAAACAGATATTTAGTAAAAAGCAGCACATATTAATCTTTGTTAGGCACACACTTAACCCCTTGATTACCTCGAGATGTTAATCCCTTCCCAGCCAGTGTCATTAGTACAGTGACAGTGTATAGTATTATCCCTGTATTAGTGTCACTTCGGTTAGTCAATTACCACCCAGTGTCAGATTGCCCACCGCACTCAATCACAGTCTCATTCATATATATATATATATATATATATATATATATATATATATATATATATACATACATACACACATATATACATATACACACACATACATACATACACACATATATACATATACACACACATACATACATACACACATATATACATATACACACACAGGGTGCAGCAACATGACTTCCTGTTTTCAAAACTGTGTAAAACAGAACTTTAGATATGTACCTACATTATTAAAAGGCAATAAAAACAATTCTGATTCATAAAATGGGTTTTATTGCGTTTTGAAAAAAAAAGGGAGAGAGAGAGAGAGAGAGAGAGAGAGAGAGAGAGAGAGAGAGAGAGAGAGAGAGAGAGAGAGTGCGTGCGTCTCTATCTATATACATATACACACACACACATATATATATATATATATTAAAAAAATTGGGATATTTTGTTACCAAAGGCATTTAGAAGAATACATTTTGGCCTAAATTTAAGCATTTGATTTTACTGGATAATTTTTATAGCAGAAAGCAAAAATATTTTTTTTAAAAATGTTTGGTCTTTTATATAATTAAAAAAAAATTAAAGGGGAGTTCCATCCAAAAGCGGAAGCTCCACTTGTTTGCCTGCTCTCCCCCCTCCATATCTGGCACCTTTTGGGGGGGGTACCTGGTATTGACAGGCACCCGCTCCCACTTCTGGCTCAGTTCGCCGCTGCAAAGTGAGCCAGAAGTTCGGCCCCCACCTTCCTCCCGCAGTCTCCTGGGAACCTTTCAGGTCCCAGAAGACTGCCAGACCACTCATGACGCGCAGCTCGACCCGCTGGAACTCCACTTTAAATATCACAAAAACAAAGCTCTATTTGTGTGAAAAAAGATAAAAATTTCATTTGGGTCCAGCGTTGCATGACTGTGCAGTCGCCAGTTAAAAGTAGCACAGCACTGAATAGCAAAAAATGAGGGCAAGTGGTTAAAGAGTAACTCCACTTTTGCTGAGAACTACCCCCCCCCCCCCCCCAGGTGATCTATGTACATTGCAGGGAGGATTTTAACAAACTTTGTTGCAGATTCCTACCTTTTGTTATTCCAAAGAAATTGCTGTTTGTTTGTCTGTGTCCATGTGTAGAGTGAATCTGTATGGGAGTGGTTTTATAACTCAATCAGCTGCTGCACCTGCAGGGCTCTAATGAAGAAACTGACAGGGTCAGCATTCCTTTAGATGTGATTTTCCTTTGGAATGACATTTTTGTTGCAGGGGATGCCAAAAATATGACATATTTTATTGCAGACTTCTGGGAAAAATTAGTGAGCCAATCACACAAGCAGGAAATAACATATCTTTGGGGGGGCGCTCTGTATACCATCTGTGTACAGAACGCCCCCAGGTAGCCAAATTTCATTGCATTGTACAGAAAATCACAGCGGCTGCAGATTGAAAAGGAAAGGTCATTTTTAATAACATTCAATTGCAATACGACTTGTGTCGCAATTGTATATGTGTGATTATTTATTTATTTTTGCTAATTCATTTCCCATGAAAGTGGAGTTACCCTTTAAGCTGTGTTTTAACCGCTTCCCCTCCAGAGGATTCCCCCCCCCCCCCCCTCCCCTTTCCTGACCAGGCCATTTTTTGCTATACGGCGCTGCGTTACTTTAACTGATAATTGCGCGGTCATACAACGCTGCACCCAAATGACATTTCTGTAATTTGTTTCCAACAAATAGAGCTTTCTTTCGATGGTATTTGATCACCTCTGTGGTTTTTTATTTTTTGCGCTATAAACAAAATAAAGACTGACAATTTTGAAAAAAAAAACCCTTAAAACCAATATTGACTTTTTTGCTATAAAAACATATCTAGTAAAAAAGTTTAAAAAAATCAAATTTCGTCTTAAATTTAGGCCAAAATGTATTCTGCTACATGTGTTCGCTAAAAAAAAAAAATCCCAATACGTGTAAATTAATTGGTTTACGTGAAAGTTATAGCGTCTACAAATGTCGGTATATATACTTGAATTTTTAGTTTTATTATACTAGTAATGGCGGCGATCAGCGACTTATAGCGGGACTGCGACAGGCATTCTGACACTGGAGGCAACTGACTTAACTGCCACTGATATCCCCAGTGACACTAATACAGTGATCAGTGCTAATAAAACGCACTGACACTGTACTAATGGCACTGGGCAGGAAGGGGTTAACGTCTGGGGCGATCAAAGGGTTAACGGTGTGCGTTTTACATTATGTGCTGTGTGTGTTTTACTAAGGAGACATGGTGCTGTGCAGAGAAATACAAAGCAGCATGTCCTTGCTGAAGGAGAGACTTGTGTTGTTTACACACAGTTGTCTCACCTGTTTGCTGTTCCCGATGATCGCCGGGTGCCGGCCAGTGATATCGCCAGGGACAGCTGACAGGTGAGACACCTGTATGTAAACAACACAGGTCTCTCTCCTGTCAGCAAGGACATGCTGCTTTGTATATTTCTCTGCACAGCATGACTAGCAGCGTGGGTAGGGCGGTGCGAGCGTGTGCGCGCCCCCTACCTGGATATGCATATGTGATTTTGCGTAGCCCTGCAGCAGTACTTCTAGTATAGGGCGGCGGGCAAGCGGTTTTTTTTGTTAAACACCATTTGGTGAGGGAATATGCATATCCAGGTAGGGGGTGCACCGCCCTAACCGCGCCGCTAGACATGCTGTGCAGAGAAATACAAAGCAACATGTCCTTGCTGACAGGAGAGAAGACCTGTGTTGTTTACACACAGGTGTGTCACCTGTCAGCAAGGACATGCTGCTTTGTATTTCTCTGCACAGCATGTCTAGCGGCGCGGGTAGGGCGGTGCGTGCGTGCCCCCTACTCGTATATGCATATGAGATTTCACGCAGCCTTGCCGCCCCGTAGCAGTACTTCTAATACAGGGCGGCAGGCAAGCAGTTAAACACCAATTGCATCATTTGGCGAGGGAAGTTGAGGGAAGTGCGTATGTCTTCTGGGAGTATTATTACACACACGTTGGGACTGAACATGAGAAGTGCTGCTTCATATACTGGACAGACTAATACCATCTGTGTTCAATACTTCAATAAAAAAAATGTATCCTCAATTACAGAAGGAAAAAAAAGAAAAAGTAGAACCTTGAGCCAAGATCTGAATCCAATTATCCACCTGAGTAAGCAGAGCCGGCAGCGTCTCATAAAGCGCTGTCATGCGTTACCTTGCCGTGCAGCTTCTCCTCCAGCTCTTTCTGCTTCTGTTTGTCCTTCTCTTCATCCAGATGAGATTTACAAGTCATTGAAAGCTTCTTAATGAGCTGTTCCATCTCCCTGCGCTGCTCCGCGTTCTGCTCAGTCTCCATCTGCTTATACCGCCGCCAGTCATTAATGACACCTTTCGGACCTACAGAATCAAATGGAACAAACCTCTTAATAAGCAGAAAACTGGAGGAAATTGCATTTTTTTGCAGTTTTTATGAACAAAATAGCTGAACCGTTGCAAAGATGTTTTTTTAGCAGGAAATCTTTCATTTATGTGTGAAATTGATATTCCCATATGGGTTTGAAAAACAAAAGGCTGGATGGGTTCATAAATGCACTAAAAAAAACAAAACTGCCTATTAACCACTTCCTGTCCGGACACTTTCACCCCCTTCCTTTCCAGGCCAATTCTCAGCTTTCAGTGCTATCACACTTTGAATGACAATTGCGCGGTCATGCAATACTGTACCCATATGAATTTTTTACCATTTTTTTGAGACAGATAAAGCTTTATTTTGGTGGTAGTTATTCACCGCTGGGATTTTTATTTTTTTTGCTATGTAAATGAAAAGTCCAAAAATTTTGAAAAAAAGTGTTTTTTTTTATAAAATTTTGCAAATAAATAATATTTCATCATAAATCTCGACCAAAATGTATTCCGTTATATTTTTAGAAAAAAAAAAATAAGCCAAATTAGTTTATAACCAAAAATTATAATTTTTAAACATTTTTTTTACATTTTTATATTATTTTTTATGTTTTTTTTTTTTACATACTGTCACCCTAGCAGTACAGTGTCACCATGGTGACACTGTACTACTTGTGGGGAGTGATGAAGATTTTTTTTTTTTTTTTTTTTTTTACAGTGATTGCTTTTACACCCATATAGGATGTAAAAGCAATCATTTCTCTTTCTCTCTGTCTGCATTCTTGCAGCCATTGAGAAATAGTGAGTGAGCTGTGATTGGTCACACCTTGTCACATATTACAAGGTTGTTGTGAATAGCCTTGTACCATGTGACCTCTGTGATCATTCACAGATTTCACACATAGTAAGCAATGATGTCACAAGTGACATCTTGCTTACTACTTTGCATGTGATCACTGATTGGCCAATCAGTGATCACATGATCGGGACCCAGGTCCAGTCCGACGATCAGTGTTTCACTGTGTCTGGAGGACACAGTGGACACTGGATTGCGGTGCTGAGCGCTCCCAGGGAGCGCGCACAGCTAGCAAAAGCGGGTGCCATTTATGAACGGCAACCCGCCCCTGGAGTGCCACCGCCCTGCCGTTTATAAACAGCAGGTGGATGGCAAGTGGTTAATCCCCAATTATGTAATAACTAAATCCCACATCCTATTTAGAGATGGATCACAGCACACAGACATATACCAGAACAAAGCCATTATTAATAGTGGTGCGCCGAAATGAAAACTCTGGTGCCAAAACCAAAAATTCAAAATGAAACCGCAATGGGAAGTTTTTAAAAACGAATATATAGTTTTTGAAAAAAAAAAATACACTTTGATTTTAAAAAAAAAACAATATATACCCCAATTTTGTTGTAAAATAGGAATGAGGATGTTACGGCGAGTAAATGGATACCCAACATGTCACGCTTTAAAATTGCACACGCTCGTGGAATGCCGTGAAACTGCGGTACTTAAAAATCTCCATGGGTGATGCTTGAAAAATTTTCACAGGTTAGCAGTGTAAAGTTACAGAGGAGGTCTAGTGCGAGAAATTATTGCTCTTGCTCCGAAGTTCGTGGCGATGCCTCACATGTGTGGTTTGAACACTATTTACACATGTGGGCATGGCCTACGTATGCGTTCACCACTACGTGCGAACACAGGGGGGACGGGTCACTTTAAAATTTTTTTTAAAAATTAGTTTTTTCTTTTTGCACTGTTCCTTTTTTAATTTTAATCACTTTTATTATTATCACAAGGAATGCATGCATCCCTTGTGATAGAAATAATTTGTCACAGGTCCTCTTTATGGAGAGATATGGGGTCAATTATTTAAAAAAAAAATAAATAAAAAAAAAGTTTAAAGTGCCCCTATCGCCCCTATAGTGGTGAACGCATACGTAGGCCATGCCCACATATGTAAACGATGTTCAAACCACACACGTGAGGTATCGCCACGAACTTCGGAGCAAGAGCAATAATTCTCGCACTAGACCTCCTCTGTAACCTTACACTGCTAACCTGTAGAAATTTTTCAAGCATCACCCATGGAGATTTTAAGTACCGCAGTTTCACGCCATTCCACGAGCGTGCGCAATTTTAAAGCGTGACATGTTGGGTATACATTTAGATTTATTTTTTATTTGTTTATTTCAGGTACTTATATAGCGCCGTCAATTTACGCAGCACTTTACATATATATTGTACATTCACATCAGTCCCTAACCCTCAAGGGGTGTACAGTCTAAGGTATATATCATTTTTTTCCACACAAATAGACCTTTATTTTGGTGGTATTTGATCATCACTGGGATTTTTTAATTTTTGCAATATAAATGAAAAAAGACCGAAAATATTTATTGATACTTGTTCTTGTTTAAAAAAAAAAAAAAAAAAAAAAAAGATCCCAGTAAGTGTATATTATTTGGTTTGCTTGAAAGGTATAGCGTCTACAAAACGGAAGTATATATACTGTCATTTTATTCATTTTTTTTTTTTTATATACTAGTATTGACGCCGATTAGCGACTTATAGTGGAACTGTTCTAGTACAGCAGGCATTCTGACACTAATTGACACTGGGTGGGAACTGACTAACTGCCACTGACACCTCCGGTGACACCAATACACTGATCAGTGCTAATAAAAAGCACTGACACTGAATGACACTGGGCAAGAAGGGGTTAACATCTGGGGTGATCAACGGGTTAACTGTGAGCCAGGGGGTGTTATTACTGTGTACTGTGTGGTGTTTTACTAGGGGATGTTTTGGCATTTATCTCCCTGTTTGCAGGGAGATAAAAACCGGCACATCCCCGCTGACAGTGTTTACACTCACAGATCTCTCTCCTGTAAGCTGATCCGCCGATCGCCGAGTCTCGGCCATGAATCCCTAGTCAGGACCCGGTAATTGATACCTACAGGAGCCAATAACAGCGCGCGTAGGACGGCATGCACTACCCCACCCAGAAATGCAAAATCACGTAAATATGTGCGATTTTGTGCACAGCCCTGTAGTAGTTTTAAGGTTGGCCCTTACCAATGGCTCCCTCTGCTCTGTCTCTTAGCCAATGAGGAGGGGGAGAGAGCTGGGTGAGCCTCGGCTCTCGTGCACAGCACTGGATAGTGATCAGGTCAGTATTAACCATTTGCCGCCCGCCCTATGGCCGAATGGCGGGCGGCAAATGTCATCAGCGTTCCGGGTGGACGCCATATGGCGTCCTCCCGCACATGCGCAGATTGCGCTCCTGCAGAGCGGCGTGATCTGTAGGAGCGCAATCTGGCCGAATGGCGGGCGGCAAATGTTATCAGCGTTCCGGGTGGACGCCATATGGCGTCCTCCAGCACATGCGCAGATTGCGCTCCTGCAGAGCGGCGCGATCTGTCACCGGCCGTGTACCTCGGACACGGCCGATGACAGATCTGAGTATCAGCCCCCTTGCAGGTACCATGTGACCTGCTGTGAGCAATCACAGCAGGTCACATGACAGTTGTATACAATGGATGGCTTCATTCATGCCATCCATTGTATACTAGTGTCTAGCTGTGAATGGTCACAGCTAATCACATGCACATGTCATGTGATTAGCTGTGGCCAAATCACAGCTAAGCACAAAAAAAAGAAAAGAAAACCCTGAATGAATTGATGTCATTCAGGTAAATGCTTGCTTATAACAAAGTAATTCTTTGCTATAAGCAAATTGTGTAAAAAAAAAAAAAAATACTGATCACTTCCCCAAAGTAGTACAATGTTACTATGGTAACATTGTACTACTTTGGTCATAGTAAAATATAAAAAAAAAAAATCTTAAACAAATAAAAAATATTTAAAAAAAAATAAAAAAATAAAAAAAATATATATTTTTTTTTTTTCATACTGTCACCAGTCAGTGTCCCTGATCACCGCCATGCCAGTTATATGATGACGCTGTACTGCACTGGTGACAATATGTAAAAAAAAAAAAAAAAAAAAGTGAAACTAATTTTTTTAATTTTTTAATTTTCCGAAAAATTATGACAAAAAAAAAAATACAACTTCAAAAAACTCGCCATGCCTCTTATGAAGTACGTCGGACTGTCTACTTTGCAAAAAGGGGTCATTTGGGAGATATCTGTACTGTCCTAACATTTGGGGATATCTGTACTGTTCTGACATTTGGGGGATATTTGTACTGTTCTGACATTTGGGGGATATTTGTACTGTTCTGACATTTGGGGGATATTTGTACTGTTCTGACATTTGGGGGATATTTGTACTGTCCTGACATTTGGGGGGATATCTGTACTGTCCTGACATTTGGGGGGATATCTGTACTGTCCTGACATTTGGGGGATATCTGTACTGTCCTGACATTTGGGGGATATCTGTACTGTCCTGACATTTGGGGGGATATCTGTACTGTTCTGACATTTGGGGGGATATCTGTACTGTTCTGACATTTGGGGGATATCTGTACTGTCCTGACATTTGGGGGATATCTGTCCTGTCCTGACATTTGGGGGGATATCTGTATTGTTCTGACATTTGGGGGATATCTGTACTGTCCTGACATTTGGGGGGATATCTGTACTGTTCTGACATTTGGGGGATATCTGTACTGTCCTGACATTTGGGGGATATTTGTACTGTTCTGACATTTGGGGGATATCTGTACTGTTCTGACATTCTTGGACCTCAAGAAATTAGATTGGCTGTCAGTACTTCAGGATTGATCAATATTCAGATCTATACCATAGTTTGTGAACTCTATAACTTTCCTACAAAATAAATAATACATCCTAATTTGGGTTATTTTCACCAAAGACATGTAGCAGAATACATCTCGGCCTAAATTTATGAAGAACAATTATTTATTTGCAAACTTTTATAACAGAAACAAAGAAAAACTTTTTTTTTTTCAAAATTTTTGGTCTTTTTTTGTTAATTTAGCAAAAAATAAAAACCCCAGCGGTGATTAAATACCACCAAAAAAAAAGCTCTAGTTGTGTGAAGAAAATTATAAAATTTTAGTTTGGGTACAATGTTGTATGACCGCGCAATTGTCATTCAAAGTGTGAGAGCGCTGAAACATGAAAAATAGCCTGGGCAGGAAGGGGGAAAATTGGCCGGTATTGAATTGGTTAAGGGTGGCAGAGGGAGGGGCGGAAAAAAAAAAAAAAAAAAAAAAAAAGGAATCGCACACTGAAGGTTTTTTTTTCCATCATGCACAAAGGTAAAAAACGTTCAGTCTTTACAGGCACTTTAATTCTGATTTAACAGATCGAAAGCTAACCCCCCAATGAAGAGGTTACCTGTATTAATGGCTCCTTCTTCTTTGCTCCCCTCAGATTCTCTGACCGAGCCTTGCCGCACTTTCCGATCCTGATCGCTGTCCTCGTCATCGCTGCTGCTGCTGTAGTAGTATTGACACTTTTCTCCCAACAGCTTATCGTCCAGGGTTGTCATTGTGTCCTAAATGTAGGCAATGAAGATTACGTCACCACATCATTTATTTCATTCATTTATTTTAACAGTTACATTTCCAATGAGCTTTTTTCCTTGTTAGCCGCTTCCCGTCCGCCGTATAGCAGATATACTGTACAGGACGGCACGGGTGCACAAAGTCCGTATATATACGTGATTTCGCACTTCCAGGTAGGGGGCGTGCGTGCGCCCTACCCGCAGCTGTGGTGTCAATCATTGAGTCCCGGACGGAAATTACTCGCCGGTGCCCGGTGATTTCCGAGGATCTCCGACGGGGAGGAGGACTGTTTTGTTTACTAACAGTTCTCCTCCGTCAGCTCGAGCACCCTGCACAACACAGCCATCCAGAGCAGTGTGCTTACAGTGAAGCACCAACACACCGCCCCCTAGTCAAACTCTCCCAGCACACAGTTAACCCTTTGATCACCCCTCATGTTAACCCCTTCCTGCAAAGGGCCATTGGATAGCCAACGGGGAGGAGGACTATTTTGTTTACTAACAGTCATCCTCCCTGTCAGCTGGGGTACACTGCTGTGGATGGTTGTGCAGATATTTATTTTAACCGCTAGCCTACAGGGCACTTATACCCCCCTTCCTGCCCAGGCCAATTTCCAGCTTTCAGCGCTGTTGCACTTTGAATGACAATTGATTGGACACAGCTGATCACATGACCGAGTTGACATCTTCGGCTCTTTCCGTGAACGGTGATCCGCTGTGTCCGAGGGACACAGCGCACCGCCGATTGCCACGCTGCACGCTCCCTGAGACGCGCATGCGCAGTGAGAATGGGAGGATGTCATATGACGTCCTCTCAGAACGAGAGAACCACCTTGCGTCCATCATATTACTATATGGCAGGTGGGAGGTGGTTAATAAAATGCCTTTGGATTAAACATCTATGATAAAAATAAAAAAAAAAATCCAATTTAAATTAAAAAATCCGATTTGTTTTTAAAAATCATTGATTTTTATCCACCCTGGTCTCAGCCAATGAGGAAGAAGAGTCCCCGGAGAGGCGCTGCTCCCGTTCATATGGCTGGATCGGAGGGGTTTAGGTAATCATTTGGGGGGGTGGAACGAGCTGCACACAGAAGCCATTTTACCTTCGTGAATAGAATGCACAAAGGTAAAACCCGTGAGCCTTTTCAACCACTTTAATGTCCCTTTAAATAGTTTGTTTGGGCCAAGCTTCACTAACAGGGGAGCTTTGTGTGAACTGTATACACTCACCAGCCTCTTTATTAGGTCCACCTGTTCAATTGATTGGTAACACAAATTGCTAATCAGCCAATCACATGGCAACAATTCAATGCCTTTAGGCATCTAGATGTGGTGAAGACGACTCGCTGAAGTCAAAACCGAGCATCAGAAAGGGGATTTAAGTGACTTTGAACATGGCATGGTTGTTGGTGTCAGACAGTCTGGTCTGAGAGTTTCAAAAACTGCTGATCTACTGGGATTTTCACGTACAACCATCACTAGAATTTACAGAGAATGGTCCGAAAAAGAGAAAATATCCAGTGAGTGGCAGTTGTGTGGAAGAAAATGCCTTGTTGAGGTCAGAGAATGGGCAGACTGGCTGGAGATGATAGAAAGGCAACAGTAACTCAAATAACCCCTCATTACAACCGAGGTATGCAGAATACCATGTCTGAAGGCACGACACGTCCAACCTTGAAGCAGATGGGCTACAGCAGCAGAAGACCACACCGGGTGCCACTCCTGTCAGCTAAGAACTGGAAACGGATGCTACAATTCGCACAGGCTCACCAAAACTGGACTATAGAAGATTGGAAAACCGTTGCCTGGTGTGATGAGTCTGGATTTCAGCTGCGACATTCAGATGGTGGGGTCGGAATTTGGCGTAAACAACATGAAAGCATGGATCCATCCTGCCTTGTATCAACGGTTCATGGATGTGCAGCCGACAAATCTGCAGCAACTGTGTGATTCTATCATGTCAATATGAACCAGAATCTCTGAGGTGCTTCCAACACCTTGTTGAATCCATGCCACGAAGAATGGCAAAAGGGGGTCCAACCTGGTACTAACAAGGTGTACATAATAAAGTGGCCGGTGAGCGCAGTATATAGCCGCGCAATGGGAACTTCCCGTCTCAGCCATTCACAGGAAGTCTTGTATTCTATAAATACATACAAGGTCTCCTCTGATTGGTGGAGGTGGAGATCATGACATCATCAGCTCTCCCCTCATGAATGTACGGTATGTAAAGTGCTGTGTAAATTATTGACATTACATAAATACCTTTAATAAGTAAAATATCAGGCATGTGGGGGGGGGTCTGGGGACCATCACAAATATATTTATATAAAATATATTATAAAATCCCCCCCAAAAAAATATAATTCAGGAAAAGTCTGAACATCCCGATCTCGCAATCTGTGCAGCTCCACCCCCGCAGGGAAATGGACTGGAGGAGATTAGAGGACTTTTCATAATTCTGGCTTTCTAGGGATTATAAATCTGTCCGTGGCGGGCCAGGTTGTCATGGAGACCAGAGAACGGCGCCAGATGTTGGCGCTTTCTGGTTACGAACCTTCATCTGTTCATACAGAATATTTATTATGTGGTTTTAATCAAGTGTGCCCAGAGCAATACACGGCCAAGTATGACCTGCAAGACCGGTGACGACACATGGGAGCTATTCCCTTCACACCGGATTTCCTTCGCTTACTTTCCGTTCTCCCCTTTATTCCAGCAGGTGGAGGATACCAGCCCATTGCTGCGAGTCTTCCAATTCCAGTATCCTCACCATGCCAGGACAAATGGCGGCCTCCAGCTCCGGCATAGGCCATGTACTGTCCCCTTCCAACAACCCCATGTGACTACCAACTACGCATGCCGGGATTTGCTGCAGATGTGCATTGTGCATGTAATGCGGATGCGGGGCATTTGCACAGTGGCCCCGTTCAGTTGAATGGGTTTCTTTTGGTGGGCCCTACGCCCGCTGAAAGTGACGGAGTAGAATTCTTGATGCGACTGAGAAAACAAGCATTGTAGTATGTGTCAGCCACTGCTTCTGTGATTGGGGGTTGTTCGGAGGAGGGGGGACGCAGTAGTACTCATGACACAGTCATGATGATCTGCAAAAGTCACGCCCCCTGTTGTGTTTGGTGGGTAATACCAAGTGCGACCGACTTAACCACTTCCCAACCATAGGAGGGGGGGGGGGGGGGGGGGAACGCAGTAGTACTCATGACGCAGCCATGATGATCTGCAAAAGTCACGCCCCCTGTTGTGTTTGGCGGGTAATACCAAGTGCGACCAACTTAACCACTTCCCAACCATAGGAGGGGGGACGCAGTAGTACTCATGACGCAGCCATGATGATCTGCAAAAGTCACGCCCCCTGTTGTGCTTGGCGGGTAATACCAAGTGCGACTGACCTAATCACTTCCCAACCATAGGACGTCCTCGGGTTGATGCCTGCAGCTGCAAGCATCATCCCGGCATCAAAATTTGCAGCCGGCGATTCCCTTCTAAGCAGGAGTGATGTGAGTAGCTGAACAGCCACTCAATTGCTACTCTGGGCGGCAGAAGGTGATCCCCCCTATCATTTTATCCAACTGGCGGCCCTCCAGCTGTTGCGAAACTACGAGTCCCATGAGGCATTGCAAGATTGACAGTTACAAGCATGACCCCCAAAGGCAGAGGCATGATGGAACTTGCAGTTTCGCAACAGCTGGAGGGCCACCAGTTTGACACCCCTGCACTAGGGCCTTTGCTTCGGCCCCTCACGTCCGAGTTTTTACATCCACACAGGGACCAATGAGAGGTCCTAGACTCAAACTTTCTGCCTCCAATCAGTCCCTGTGTGGATATAAACGCAGTGTCCGTCCGCCTGTCGCCGGTTAGTATAGGCCACAGCTCAACCGCACAAATTGGGCGCAGAAATCGCGCTCCTTGGTATGATCATTTTCCGTCCTGGATGATCGACCCGAATCCGATAAGAAGTGAAGTTGTTTTGAATGAGCGACAAACTGCAAACACGCCCACGTCACCGCGGTCTTCAGGCCGGTCCAGTGATGTCATGAGTCCTTCCAGATGCAGGAGGCGGACCTTAGGCCTTATTCATACTAAGCAGCACTGTCAGGGATGCGGGTGTGACCAGAAGTGTGTGGACTGACACAGGGAAACGCAGGCTTCAGATATAGTAAATAATATAATTTATTAAGACTAACAATACAAATGCAGTGCAAAACTAAACATAACACAGTGCAAACAAACTGAACCAAACCTCCAAGAGATAACAAACATACGATACAAGAGTAGTCAGGCAGGCCGGGTCGGTAGCAAACGGGCAAACGGAGTATCAGGAGCAGGCGGGAGAGTGGTCAGGACTAGCCGAGGTCAGTACAGGCAGCGTCAGGACAGCAGAAACAGGATGAGGAAACCAAGGCGAAGCAAACAGTACAACAAGGCACAGACTGCAGGTCTGGCCATCCCTTAAATACACCACCTGCAATCAGCCCCAGGTGATGGCTAATTGCCGAAGTGAGCCTCTGGTTGTTGAGAGCACCCGCTGGCCAGCCCTGGTATTGCAGCCCACAAGGCAGGTGAGTCCCACCACTATCGGCAAGTCCATTCCTGATAAGCACGATTTCTACACCGGATTTTGGATCATTCGCTGCAGATGTAAATGTGTAGAACTGTAGCACCTGTCCGCCTGTCACAGACAAATTTCCGAGCGTATACATCCACATAGGTGCGCCACCTGCCTTGTGAGGATGTCAACGCTCAGACATGCGTGTAAATGCATTGGTTTGTACACAGTCGTGGCAATCATGGCATTGGATTGTACACAGGTAATCGCTGACGCCTGTGACAGCTGGCACAAAAGAAAAGAAAAAAAAAAAAAAAAACACGCTCCCATGTAAGGCCTAGGGACCCCCCCCAACGCTTGGAAGGACCTGTGACATCAAAGGACTGGCCCAACAAAAGCAAAATACTACCATGTAACC